CAGCCCCTTCTCTTCCAAACCGTCCTTGAATTCAAAACCTGCCGGTGCGTGTGCGCATGGGGTCTGGGCTGTCCCCATGAAATGAAGCTGGAGCAGGGAGCCCTCGACCTGCCCTCCCATGGGCTGCCCGCAGTTGCTAAACTGGGGCAAAAAATAAAAAGGCAGAGAAGCAAGCAAACCTTGGAGGTTTTGGGAGGATGCTGACTAGATGTGTGCCACTATTTGGGAGCAAACGGGGCTGTGATTCAGGGGTCTGGCTGGAAATGCTGCTGTCATCCCCTGCCATCATCCGTGGGGGTGTGAGAAACAGATTTTGGGGATTAGAGTGGGGGGAGCCTTGCGTTTTGCAGAGTATGTTGGATCAGTGGAGGTGCGGAGGCTTGAGCACGGGTTCAAGCAGGGGCCTGGACATGGGGTGGGCTTGCTGTCACCTGGACCATTGAATTGTCAGCACCATGCCAGCACGGATTTTGCCCGGGATGGAGCAGCACGGTCGCAGGGGGCTCCAGGATGGAGAGGATCGTGCTGCGCCTCCTGCCATGGGAGAAGGCAGTATATGCTGTCCCGAAACCAGTGCCGGTGTGTCCATGTTGTGCTGCGGTGCTGGTGGGGCAGAGAAAGGGGGTTGTAAGAACGGGTCAGGTTTGGTGGAGAGTGTGGTCAGTGCCTTAGCTGCAGTGGGTTTCCACTCCTCGTTGGCTGCGTATTTATTTAAGATGGAGAAGCTCAAGTCTCCAGCAAGACGTTTGGGCTTGCAGTCCCGTTAACAGCATCACGCGTGGCCTGAAAGGACATCCCCACCCCCGAATGTGTCACTGCTTTTTGGGGACAGGTGTGACGTGTGCGCACACAGGAGCCGGGCAGTGCTGGGGGTCTCAAACTTGGGGAGGGGGAGGATGTCATCCAGCGGGGTGATGCTCAGCACCCAGTGCGGGGAGGCGGGCAGGCTGTCCAGCTGTCTGTCTGTCGTGCCTAGGAAACAGTTAACGCTGGGAAGCCCTGCCTGTGGAGGAAGTAGTTAATATTCATAGCGAGGAGCTGTCTGTCCTGCTGTCC